CCTGTGGAGCAAATGCGAGAGATTTTGAAGGCTAATGACCTTGATTCCTCTGGCTCTGATCTTGAAATTACACGAAGATGGTTGGTTAGATTAAACCATTTCTCCAACTCTGATTATTTTCCATCACCAAAATGTTCCAATGTGGATTTTCATGTTAGTGATTCAATTAATTGCCACCTTCCTGAACAGCCAAGACTTGTTGTTTTACGGTGCATTAAAGAAATGCTCAGTTTGCAATGGCAATTTGGAGTTTGATGGCAGACGTTATGCTTGTAGAGGGTTCTACAGTGAATGGGCTAGTTGCTATTTCAGCACCAGAGACCCTCCAAGGAAAGAGGAACCCATTAAGCTACCAGATTCTGTTCAGAATTCTCTTGTTTCAGATGTGATCTTCTCTCTTGTTTTTTGTTTTTTCTTTTCATCTCTTCTTCATTGTGTATCACTTGTCACCTAAGAATTTGTTTTGTTTATAAAATATTTGTTGGCTTGTTTTGCTGGTGTGTGCTGTAGTTGCTAAAGAAATATCAGGACCCAAGTCACAGGCCTCGCAGGGATTTAGGCTTATTAGCTGAAAAGCCTTTTACTGGAATGATGATATCTTTGATGGGTCGTCTAACTCGGACACATGTATGCACCACTTTTGTTGTTGTTGACTTAATAATAACTATCCTTCATGTCGTTTAGCATCTTTTGAATTTTATTGATTGGATTTTGTTTTTGGATACTCAGCAATATTGGAAAACAACTATTGAAAAGCATGGAGGGAAAGTTGCAAACTCTATAATTGGTAATGTGCTAGTAGCACTCCAAATGTGACAAAAAAAAGTTGTTTTTGTCATCCTTTTGTTGCTGGGAGTTGCTATAACCTGGCTTGTTAAATTCTTCAGGGGCAAATTGTTTGGTGGCTTCACCTGCTGAGCGAGAACGTGGTGGCACATCCAAACTTGCAGAAGCCATGTCAGTGCTGTAAAAGCATTTAGACAATTATTAATCCTTATGAATGATAAGCTAGCTATCTATGTTTTGTTTGGCTCCACGTCAAGAACATTATGAATAGTAGATCTTTTGGCATTTCTGTGCATGAAGACCCTAAGATTAACACTAAAAAAGCAAAAGTAAAAGTGGGTAATGTGAATGGCATTGCTACATCTATTATGGACACAATAAACATGCCTAATTAATTGTTAATGTATATTACTGTAGGGAGAGGGGTATACCTGTGGTTAGGGAGAATTGGTTGACTGACAGCATCGAAAAACAAGAACCACAACCTTTGGAAGCTTATGATCTTGTCTCCGATCTTTCTGTGGATGGCAAGGGAATCCCCTGGGACAAACAAGATCCTGGGGAGGAGGCTATTGAATCACTGTCAGCAGAAGTACATAATTTACACTTTCATACTGCTTTTTTTAATTTTTAATATTTTTGGAAAAGATGTAAGTAAAACACATGGAGCTCTTTTACCATTTGTGTCTGATAAAATTTTGTACGTGGTAACAGCTCAAGCTTTATGGAAAGAGAGGGGTCTATAAAGATACCAAATTGCAGGAACAAGGTGGAAAGATATTTGAAAGAGATGGGATATTGTACAACTGTGCCTTCTCCCTTTGTGATCAAGGACGAGGACTGAATGAGTAATGTTATGAAGATCAATTGCAATTTTAGTCCATATTGACATTTATAAGACTACTATACCTAATTAGTGGTGTTAATTTGGGGCAGTTACTGTGTCATGCAACTGATTGTAGTCCCAGAGAATCGTTTGCATCTTTACTTCAAAAAAGGAAGAGTTGGTGATGATCCAAATGCAGAGGAGAGATTAGAAGAGTGGGAGAATGTGGACAATGCTCTGAAAGAGTTTGTGAGGCTCTTTCAGGAAATAACAGGAAATGAGTTTGAATCTTGGGAAAGAGAGAAGAAGTTCCAGAAGAAGCCTTTGAAGTTTTACCCCATTGACATGGTAAATATCTATTCCCTCCCACAAATGATTAGTGATTTATCCATGCCACCTTTTTTAGGTAACAGATAGTTCTATGCCATTGTATAGGATGATGGAGTTGAAGTTAGATATGGGGCACTAGGTCTTCGGCAGCTGGGGATAGCAGTAACACACTGTAAACTTGAGCCTCTGGTTGCAAATTTTATGAAGGTTATGTGCAGCCAAGAGATATATAAGTAAGTACAATATTTGAACACTAACCTTGTATGATTTTAATTTGTTGAAGTCTCAAAATAACCTACATTTGAGTTCAGGTATGCATTGATGGAGATGGGTTATGACTCTCCGGACCTTCCAATAGGAATGGTTACAAATCTTCACCAGAAAAGATGTATGTAGATGGGGAACACTTCTTTTTTCTATTTCTCTAATGTCCTTCACAAAGACTGACAATAGAACCTTATCAGGTGAGGAAGTTCTCTTAGAATTCATAGAGAAGGTGAAATCATTGAAAGAGACTGGGGCCAAGGCTGAGGCTGTTTGGAATGATTTTAGCCAAAGATGGTTCACTCTGATGCACTCCACAAGGCCTTTCATTTTTAGAGATTATCAGGAGATTGCAGATCATGTAAGCTCAATTAGTCACCACCTTCATTGGTTCAACCACTTATTTTGAAGACTGAGTCTTGTCCTAATTTTCCTTAGGCTGCTGCTGCCCTGGAGGGTGTTAGAGATATAACCCTGGCTTCTCATCTCATAGGAGATATGAGTGGCTCTACTCTTGATGACCCATTATCAGACACATACAACAAATTGGGTTGCTCAATTTCTCCTTTGGAAAAAAATTCAAATGATTATGAGATGATTGTGAAATACCTGGAAAATACTTATGAACCAGTCAAAGTTGGTGACATTGTAAGATTACAACTCTTTTCTTTGTGTGTTTTATGTACAACTATAACGAGGAGCATATCTTCTTGAGTGTTTACTTCCTATGAACTTCAGGAATATGGGGTGTCAGTTGAAAACATTTTTACTGTGGAACCGAGGGCTTGCCCTCCCTATGAAGACATACTAAAGCTACCAAATAAGGTTCTTCTATGGTGTGGTAAGACTACACTAGAAGAATATTGTTCAAATTGTAAGGAAAAAAATATGGATGTGTTTATCATTTTATGATTATATTATGTAAGGATCACGAAGTTCAAATCTTTTGAGGCACTTGCACAAGGGGTTCTTGCCAGCGATATGTTCACTACCGGTTCCGGGTTATATGGTATTTAGAAATACAAATGGTAGTTTATTTAATTCTAATGATAGTGAACATTTTCTCATCAGTTATGTGTTTTTGGCAACAGTTTGGCAAAGCTATTGTTTGTTCCGATGCTGCAGCAGAGGCTGCAAGATATGGTTTTACTGCTGTGGACAGGCCAGAAGGGTTCTTGGTTTTGGCCATTGCTTCTCTAGGAAATGAGATTACCGAGTTGAAAAGCCCACCTGAGGTAGGCACTAACGGTATCCTTTTTTTGGCTTTTCACACTCAGGAATGTTATTGATATGGTTTTAACAATGATTGAATCAGGACACAAAATCTTTGGAGGAAAAGAAGCTTGGAGTGAAGGGGTTGGGAAAGAAGAAAACAGATGAATCAGAGCACTTTGTTTGGAAAGATGACATAAAAGTTCCTTCTGGTAGAATAGTTGCCTCAGATCATCAAGATAGCCCCTTGGAATACAATGAGTATGCTATCTACGATCCTAAGCAGGTATAACCCGTCTTTGTTAAGAATAAGCCATATTTTCAATCGAGAAAAACACTATACACCGATCCGTGCACTTTTGTTCACAGGTACGCATAAGCTATTTGGTAGGAGTGAAGTATGAAGAGAAGGGCGTAGTGATGGACACAGAAGAGTGAAAGGGCCAAAAAGTGATGAAGGGGAAGCTTTTTTGTAATGCATAAGAGGAACGATATATGACCCAAGCTCATCTTGTCTGAAGCTGTTTCAAGTTTCAACAAGAGATTTCTCTAGGTTGTGGAAGATCTTTGTCGATGTATGTTATATACATATGCAACAGAATAAGTTGTATGTGGTGTCACGTTTTGATGTATGTATAGGTCAACGGACACTAACTTGGAGTAAGTAAATGTTTTGTCCTACTCTTGTATGACAGCAATAGAGTGCAACTACATTAACAACATGTTAAAAGTTTTAGTTGACTGTTCTTGGGTGTGAATGAAAATGATGAGTAGAGGAAACAATATTACGATGTCTTTATTTTGGAGACTCGTGTCTAAACTGCCACAAAAACCTAATGATTTTCTATAAGGAATTCAGCTTAGATTTGCCCCATATAAAATCGAATGAAATAACCTTAAAACCGGCATGGAAACTATAAATTGTTTGGTTTTTTTTTATTCGCCAGGTTTTGCAAAGTTGTTAAAATGTCGCAATCCAGTATCCAATTAAGTGCTTTTTTTTCGCTACTGTGCCTTTAAAAGACAGATTAGAACGCAATTAAGACTAACCTTTCGACAAAGGACGTGGCATGTACTTAGATAACCCTCTTAGAAACAGTGATCAAAGTGTCACTGTTCCCCTTCTTATTTCTTTAAATGTCACGCTAACAATGTTATTTCTCATTCTTAAATGCCATAGTGTTTTTCCAATAGAAAATAACACTCTTGGCATGACATTTAAGAAAATGCCATAGTGTTTTTCCAATAAAAAATAACACTGTTGGCATGACATTTAAGAAAATAAGATGGAAAACAGTGTTTTCCCAATAGAAAATAACGCTCTTGGCGTGACATTTAAGAAAATAAGATGAGACACAGTGACACTTTGATTATTGTTCCACCATCTTACCACTAAAGTCGGGGCTAAAAGGGGCAGAAGATTTTGATGATCACTTGGATACCCGACATCTTCACACAAATTATTTGGATCAACCTTCCATCTATGAAGGGTTGGATAGTAAAATATGGTTAGGAAGTCATCATAGCCAGTGAAATAAAATCACCCAATTAAACAACCGAGGAAAGACTCTTGCATTGCATCATACACAAATCATAGATGGGGCATGCTTATGCTTAATCATCCAAGGGTCAAAGCGACTATTGATCTAACCAAAATTTACAATTTATGTTGCCTTGAGGCTACATTTGGGGCAGTACAAACAAAGTTGAGAATACAAAAATGAATCTTGAATCAGTATTGTTTTCCACTATCTGTGCATTTCACAAGTATCACAATAAGAGAACAATTCAGACGTGACAACATGGGGGGAAAACAAAAAATCAACCCCCTCCACCACTCAAATTGGCAGGTAGCAGCAGCACTTCATCAGTGTCATTGATACATGACAACAGGAGGAATCTTAAACTTATCCGAGAGAAATGGTATGGGCTTATTTCCATCCACAAGGTCACGGTAGAAAGCATATTCAGCCTCATAATCATGCAAGTGAAGCTCAGCTTTCTGGTTAGTGTGATAATGATGTTTAGCAGAAGCTGATTTCCCAAACCCAAAAATGCTAACTTTATCACATATTCCCAAAGCCAACATCACAGCCTGCATACCAGAAGAGTAATGGAAGAGAGCCCCATCATGAGCAGAACCCCATTGCTCAAAACCCTTGCCTGTTTCCTCCACAAACCTCTTCAAAGAGTAATACTTCACAATCCTAGCACACAACACATCAAACCTAGGATCAGTTACCAACAAAGGAGCCTTGTGAGAAGAATTGCACACAGCGTAATCCAAGAAATGCAAGGCTTGACAAATGTACATAACAATTGGAACATGAGCACCATAAGGGTGACAATAACACCCTGCTCTCCTTGCACACAAATGCAAGATGTTACTATTCACAAATGAAATGCTGGTTTTCTTCCCAACCTTGTGTTCAAAGTTATCAACCCTAGCATTGTTCAACCTTATAACAACTTCATGTGCATCAATTAAACTACCATAATCTCTGTTTAGCAAAATCCCACTGTTCCCAACAACAGCACATGAAGAGTACCTCTTGTCACCGGAACCATTAACCACTTTAACACCGTTATGCTGTTCAATCGGAACCTTAACTAACCGAGTCAACTCGGACATGATACCGGGTTGAAACCTCTTCTTCCTTGCCCACTCCTGCAGAACCTTCCGGAAATCCAACCAATAACGATAGAACAACGGCGAACGAAGCGTTGCCGGGAGGTTGTTACTGTTAACGTTCACGTGCCTGGACGGTGATGATGATGATGACGACTTGTCGTGGTGGTGGTCGCCGGCGACGTCGTGGTGGATGAACCGCCGCCACGAAACGAAAGTTCGGTGACGCGCTTGGCTACCGAAGTTGCCGTCGAGAAGCTGCTGGATCTCTTGCTTTGATTTTTCTTCGCCGATTTCGACGGCGGCGTGTTTCAGAAGCGTGGCGTTCAGCGGCGGAGATGGCGGCGGCGGAGGTGGATCTTGGATCAGGACTCGGGTTTCGAGCTCGAGGGAGAGTATTCCCCTTCGAACCATGGCTCTGGAAGTGAGTGTGGCGATGAACACGACGAAGAGGAGAAGCCCGAAGAGTGGGCGAACGGTGCGTTTCATTGGGAACAAGTTGTGAAGAGAACAATTGGTTTTGGTTGTGGCTAAATGTTGAAAGGAATCCATGGAATTTGATGTTTCCGTTTCAGATCCATCTTTGTGTTCTGGAACCTTAGGCATAGATGAAGAAGAAGAAAATGAAAAAAAATAGAGTTAGGTCTTTCAAAGTAAATCGTCGAATGTGAATGTTAAAGTTGAATCTGGGTTTTGGTCAAAAAGTGATTTTTTTTGTTTTTTTACCATGATTGAATAAGAATGGTAAGAGAACCCTAAAAGAGGAAACTGAGAGTGAAGTTAACAGAATAGAGGGATCTTTTGAAGCATCAAGCAGTGAAATAGATCAGAAGGGTGCATAAGAAAAGGATGAAGAATTTGCTGTAGTTGCAGAAACTGAACATTGTGTGTGAATGTGAGAGGGTTACCCAAATGGCCAAAAAGGAATCTTGGTAGTTAGGTCGTGGGAAAATGGGGGGAGATAGGAAATGAAAGGCTGCAATAGGGTGTGGTATGGTTTCCAAGTGGAGCTTGAGAAACCAAAACAAAACCCTAATTGGAATCTAGATTTTAGAGAATATAATGTGTGTGTTTGGGTGAGAGCGAGAGAAAGAGGGGTTAGTGTATTGTGTTGTGTGGGGAAGGCAACGCATTAGAAGGATGCATGTTGTGGTTAGTGCACATTAAAAGGTCATGCTTCTGATTTCTGACTAGTGCATGTGCAAGCGACACAGCGTTTATGTGGGGTATAAGGCAATTATGGTGTGTGTGTGGAAGATGGGGATGAAGGGACTTGGAGTGGGTCCATGTGCTAAGCTTGGAGCTACATGGATCATAGGTTTACCCTCATTGCAGATGTTGAATGTTTAAATAATTACGAGTCAGGAGAGAGATCAGAGTGTCTTTCATTTCTAATTTTGCAGATCTTACCTAAATATGGCATCTTGTTAACTTTTTTAGCGCCACAAAGAAATAATATAAAAAGTTTAACTTTATTGCCACGCTTAGATTAAAGCAATGTTGAAGGTGAAAAGCTTGCTTTTTCCATTCTCTCCTTTATTTTAAATTACTTAATAGGGATTAAGGCGATGATTGATGACTGATGAGAATGCTAATCCAAAACTATTCTAAACTTGAAAACACAATAACAAGAAAACTGTGATATTGACAATTTAAAAGGGGCAAAAGAAACTGTAATATTGATAATTTATATATATATATATATATATATATATATATATATATATATATATAGCAAAATGATTTGTAATGTTACTGCATATAAGTATTGGTATAGTCACCTAAAAATTATGTCGTTTTGGGTTGGATAAAGAAAGTTCGCGTTCAAAATTAATTGTAGAAAATAAAAGTATTATATTTATTTCTCCATATTTAACGTTTTATATTTATTTTCACATTTGTATGGTTATTATTTTTCATATTGAATGCTTTCACATTATAAAATGACGTAGTTTTATATGACTGGACCTATCCTTAGGTGCAGTCACTTTACATTCGCTAAACCCTATATATATGTTGTATAGTAACATTCTTTACAATGGAATAAGGGAATAACATCTATTCTTTTAAAGGATATAAACTTATATCCTTTTAGATCTTAACCGTTGATTTTCGTCCATCAACGGTTATAATTTATTGGATTAAAATTATTAATTAATTAATAATAAATTTGGCCCGTTAAGTTTGGCCCAATAGATTATAACCGCGTATGGACGGAAATTAACGGTTATGATCTAAAAGGATATAAAATTATATCATTTAAAAAGATAGATATTTTTCCCATGGAATAAATAATAAATAACAAATTATTGTTCATACTCATAACAAATGTTTTAAAAATGATAAACATCGTTATAGAATTTGTGTAACATTCTTTACAATGGAATAAATAATAAATAACAAATTATTGTTCATACTCATAACAAATGTTTTTAAAATGATAAACATCGTTATAGAATTTGTGTATTAAAATTTAATTTTCTCCTTTTAATCACTCTTCGTTTGAAGAAAAAATAAATTGTACCATTTTAATTGGTAGGGAATTTTTTGAAAGGTTTTAACAATATTCTTAACCTTTCGTGTCATCATTCTAAAGTGACTTAGGTCGGTTTGGCGTGATGTACAAGATTATGTTATAATATTTTTTTATTTTTTGGTATCACCATCATATAATATAAGTTTATACAGCATAATTTTTTAATGCATTAAAATGTTGTATAACTTAATCAAGTCTAAGGAGGTGAGATTAAATCTGATAAAGAATTTATGTATTAATATCATTGAGCAGTGCAATTCTCAAAAATTAGTATATTCAAATCAAAATTAGTTTTTCAATATATTGATTTTTAAAATATTGGAGATTTTTATTTTTATAAATACTAATATCTTTTTTCAACACACTGATCAATAGATTTTTATATAATTAATATCATATGACATTTGGAAGAATAATATAAATTCTTTATGAAAGAATTTTTGTCAAGAATATTTATTTTTCTTCTATCTAGTATTATACAGTGCATTACTAAACACTTGATGATTATCTTATACAATATTCTACCAAACACTGGATAATATTAAAATTTATTCAGAGTTTATACAATCAAACCTTATATTATCAAGTCTTATATTATAAGGTCTTATCCTATACTTACAATAAACATGCCCTTAGTGCATATTTGGTTTTTTTTTTTTTAAAGTTCAAAATCATTGTTTAAAAAATTGTAATTTTTGCCTAAATCATACTTTTGGATTCTAAACAAGAAAACAAATACATTAGTGGATGGTTTTCTTCTTATGGTGTGTATAACAACCTTTCCGGAAAAAAAAAGTTAATTTATGTTTCGATAACAGAAATGGATACAAAACTTAATTGGTAAAATCAGTTTATTCTTTTGTTCCCACATTTAATTTTTATGCTAAGAAACAGGAAAAAAAATCAAAAAAAAAAATTGCTTTTTTGTTCTAAGATACAAAACAAAAAATATTTGTCTCTCTCAATCACTCTTCACCATTACCATCACCACTACCACCACCATCATTTCGACACGATCACCGTCACCATTATTGTCATCGTCGTACCGCCAGTGTTGTCGTCACCACCGCCGTCGCCGCCACCACCACCTCTACCCATCACCGCCACTACCATTATCATCGTAACCACTGTTGTCACAACCAATACCGCCACCACCATCGCTGGAACACCCTATGTGCATCCAGTGTATTAAACATATATATGGTAATGGCGCAGCTAAATAAATGTGTAAGCTAACTTTTTCTTTTCAATTATGACGTCATGATTATTAACCAAATTGATTACTTAATTCATTTTCAAAAGATTGCCTGTATGTAAATTGCAATAAAAGCTAATTGAGTAACCTTATTAAATAAGTGTGTATCTAGTCACGGAACTACAACACGTAGACCAGGAAAAATCCTAATACATTATACAACTTGAGTCTAAGAAAACAAAGCATAATCAGTGTGGCATGGACAACCCTCATGCTCACCAAATAAGGCAACAAGGCCCAACAAAGTCTCAGCTCAGATAACAATATAATGAATATAAACATAACAGCATCCAGGCATAACAATATAATCAGCATGTATATCAACTCAGCTCCGGCCTCCTACCGCCAGAGGTCTTAGCCCCCGAGGTACCTGAACCTAAAAATGTGCCCCAAACGTGGGGTGAGATCTCTAAAAAGAAATCTCAGTAAGACAAGGGGTCCTCCAGGACTCTTCCACCCCAAGCTCACTTACAAGTATAAATATAAGTTCGAAAACAGTAATTACAATGCATGTTCATGTTAAGACATTTAAATCATGACAACATATTTCTTGCTCAATGTGCCAAGTACTACAACTCATTAATCATGTGATGTATGCAAATGCGGTTCGACTGGCCAGGGAACAGGATAGGGTTTATGTGTTGGATAAGTGGCCTCAAACTCAAGAGGGGGGGTGAATTGAATTTTAAAAATATTTTCACAAAATGCCTCAATTCCTTTCTTGAAAGCGATTTTCTTAAGTTAATATAATTTGGCACAAGCAAAACTTAGAGAATAGAAATTAGTACAAGCAAATAGTATGTAATGTGGAGATATAAATAAGTTCAAGTAATCAAATAATGCTAAAGTAAAGAGATAAAGAGTTAGAGAGATTGCAAACACTATATATCCTGGTTCGGTCACCACCACTGTGACTTAGGTCCAGATTGAAATCGTTCGTTCAACTTTTCACTAATTATCAAGCTATTCGTTTGAGGTCGTTTATAGCCGTTATACTCCTTACTGTCCAGTAAGTATTCAAATACTATTCGTAAGGTATTCGAATACTTCAACTGGTATTCGAATACTTTTCTCAAGGTATTCGAATACTTTGTTCTCAGCATAAGTATTCGAATACAGCCAATAGAGTATTCGAATACTTTCTTTGACAGATCATCAATTATGTAATTTTATGAGTTGTAAAACATTCTTTTTAGTCTCTAATCACTTTAATGTATTTCCTTGACTTGTACAGAATGTTTTGAGGTTACGAAATATGTCAAGGGTCTTTTTTATAATAATCAAAGCTTTCAAGTGATTGATGAAATGGATAATGCATGCATAGAGTTAAATTTCCTTTGAGCTCTTTTGTACATCATTAATCAATTACCTTTATAATTAGATCTAAGCTCTCAAGAGCATGTTTCAACCTTGATCTTGTGTGTTGAATGATTTGCTCTTGTTGTCTTGTTTGAATTTCTTCCTTGGACTTTTGTTTGTTGCGAGTTGTATTATCATTAACGTCGCTTCTATGCTTGTTTGTTATCATCAAAACTCTTGCATCAGTGACTCTTCATTTTAAGCGCATTGGTTTCACATTATGCACGTCTGCGACCTATCTAAACATAAGGGTCGCAGCCTTATGCCTTACACACCAAGGTGCAGCCTGATCGTGTAAATAATCAACATCACATTCATACATTACATCAACAGTTAATTTAACATATCTCAGGCATATATCAATGCATATTTCATCTTTCATAATAGCATACATGCATATAAACCACCTCCCATGGAGGTCGGTGGAACAAGCAGAAGATCAATTTGAGGATCAGAAGCTTACCTCGCAAGCTAACAATCGCAAGACAACGGTCCACAATCGCCCAAGGTCCTCAAACAGCACTCTCATGGTCTGTTTAAACCAGCAATCATATCAACATTCATAATCTAATAGTTCATGACATAACGACAACGTTTTTCTTTTACGTTTCATGCCATTAGGCTTCTCCCAAAGCCATAAGCCCTTAATCCAATTGATTCTGACTTAGTTTAATCATTACAGAGGTTCAACTTAACCAATCATGGGTCCATAAACCTAATATACCATTCTGTATGAACGGAACAGTGACCAACTCGTACTTTCCCAGAATATCCAGATATTTGTCGAGGCCATATCCGGATATCAGTATCCGGATATCAGTATCCGGATATCCATATCCGAATATCAGTATCCAGATATCATATCCGGATATTTTGTGACAGAATGCAGTTTCTGCATTTCGCGAAGATATCCCTCCAAGG